CCCACCCACACACGCACGCACGCACGCGCACGCGCACCACCTACCCCCACATTCACACGCGTGCAGGCGCCCGTGGTGCAGCTGGAGGAGGGCGAGCGCAGGTTCTGCCAGCAGTGCGGCCGCTTCCATGAGCTGGACGCGTTCGACGAGGGCAAGCGCAGCTGCCGCGAACGCCTCGCCCGCCATAACACTCTGCGCCGCAAGGATTCAGGCCCGCAGGACAAGCCGGTCGCGGGCGCGACAGCGGAGGCGGCCGCACCAGCGACCGCGCCGGCGGCGGCGACGGCGCCGGCGGCGGCGGCGGCGCCGCCGACGGCCATGACGGCGGCACGGCGCAGCACGGGCACGGGCGCGGCCAGGGCCGCCGCCGCAGCAACACGTGCCCCGCGGGCCGACGACGACGCAGGCGCGGCCTCTCCTGTGGGGACCGCCATCGACGGGGCGCCCTCTAAGCGGCAAAAAGGCAGCAGCACCAGCAAGGCTCCCTTGGCACCCAAGCACGGGCCCACGGCCAAGCCGACGGCCCCGGTGGTGCCACCCGCTGCCGCGCGCAGCGTTCACACCAGCATGGCAGCCGCGCGGCGGCCCGCCGCTGAGTCAGCTGAGGTTTCACCCTCCGCGGCCCACACGCGCCTACGCAAGCGCCGCCGCGCCGCCGTGGCCGCGCCAGGGGCCATCCCAGCCCCAGCGGTGGGGCCCAATGCGGCGAGCGATGCGGCGCCCGCCGTTGCGCTGGGGGCGGCCATAGAACGCGCCAGCTCTAGCGGCACCGCAGCCGCTTCGGCCGCATTAGCGGCCTCGTTCGAGCACGCAGCGGCGACCCCTTTGGACGCCGCAGCCACAGCCTCGCCTGCGGCGGCACCCGGCACGCCCGTGCCTGCGGCCGCACAGCACGAGGCGCCCACCCACAGCCGCGCGTCGAGCGCCCTTGCCGCGGCGGCCAGCGGACCCTCCTCTGCTACAACAGATTGGCCGTCACCACGCCTGCAGGCCGCAGCTGCTGCTGCAGCAGCAGCACCAGCAGCGGCGGCGGCATGTGCGGCAGCGGCTGCGCCTGCGCTCGGGGCCGCCGATGTGCGGGTGCAGCCCCAGGCGAGCGTTGCTCTGATGATGCTGCCTTGGCAACAGCAACAGCAGCAGCAGCAGCAGCAGCAGCAGCAGCAGCAGCAGCAGCAGCAGCAGCAGCAGCAGCAGCAGCAGCAGCAGCAGCAGCAGCAGCAGCAGCAGCGAGCAGTGCAGGTGGCTGAGGTGGGCGAGCCTGTCCCAGTGGCTGGGCCTGTCCCTTGCACCTGGCTAGACTCCTGCACCCCTCTCAGCCCCAGCCACAGCCAAGCCACGACTGGAAATCAGTGGTGGGTGGCGGGCAGCATCCATCCCCAACAGCAACAGCAGCAGCAGCAGCAGCAGCAGCAGCAGCAACAGCAGCAGCACCAGCACCAGCAGCACCAGCAGCAGCTGGATGCGCGGCTGTTGCTATGGCAGCAGGAGCAGCTGCTGCAGTGGCGCCACCAACTCGAGCAAGTGCACACGTTGTTGCACTCGCAAGCAGGATGGCAAGGGGCGAACGCGCACGCCAACGCTCCGCTGCAGCTGCAGCTGCTGCGGGAGCCGCCGTCGAACGGCAAGGTGTGGCCCTCCGCGGGCGCGCAGGGGAGCAGCAACATGGCATGGCACGCGGCTGCGGCCGCCGCTGCCGCAAACGCCGCCCGCACGCAGGCTGTGGCGACTGGCTCCGTGTGCGGCGGCGACGGCGCCGCTCTCGCCGACTTGATGGGCCCCCAGCAGACGCAGTGGCGGGTGCAGGCGCAGGCGCACACGCAGGCGGCGATCTGCTCTGTTTTCGATCAGGATCTGATTATGTATGGCGACACAGCTGTCCAGGGAGGTCCTCAGGCAATGAGGTGCGGTGCGAAATGCGCCCGGCTGCTCTGGTTATTCCTGGCTACGAGACCCTCCTGGCTGTGAAGGGCACAGGCCAGCCGCCCCCACGCACTTGCCCTGCTGCCATGCACCATTCACAAGAAGCCTGCCGCAGCCGCACCACTCGCTGCTCTACACCCGTGGAACTCCTCGACCAATGCAGTCTCAACCCCAACCGCGTCCGCTTCGCCCTGCTTTTGCAGGCGCAGCCAGCCGGCGCCGCCCATTGACCCCTTCCTGGACGTCATGCTCGACGAGTGGGCGGATGCACTCGAGCGCGCCCCTCCCGCCACCCACGCGGCGCCCCCGGCGCTCTCGTTCGCACAGCCGCACACGCAGCCGCAGCCACAGCCACAGCCGCCCTGGCCGGCGGGCATCGGCGCGTCTGGCGCGTTCAGCAGTGGCGGCGGCGGCGCTGCCGCTGGCGCCGCCGCCTCGGCCTGGCAGGCGGCGCCGGAGGTTCGGGGGGCCCAAGGTGGCCGTGTGGCTGCGGCCGTGGCTGACCTGGCGGTTTCAAACGACGAGAGCAACAGCCAGGTGTTTGCGGCCGCTGAACTGGCGGGACTGCCCAGCCTGCGCACCCTGATTGCCAGCGGCAGCAGTGCCGCGATGGCGGCCAGCGGCCCGGCGCACGTCGCGGCGCCTTTCCCCGAGGTGACACCCGAGTGACGCCTTGGCGCCCCTCCTTTCCGCTGTGCTTGCGCTCGCGCTGACCTGTCTTGATCTGTCGTTTTGATCCAGATTGCCCCGCCTGTGGCCTCACCGGTGCCTGGGACGCGGCCGCCCGAGACTTGACCGCACCCGGCGTCGCCTCACCGCCGCAGGCGCCTGCGTTCCCGGAACGCTGGCGGGCCGGCCCCCAGCTGGGACCAGCGCGCCATGACGGAGCCCTCTCCACCCCGTGGTGGCCGCTCTGACATCCCCAGGAGCCAACGGCGCCTCGTTTGGCCTCGCAAGAGCTGAATGTTATTCAGGGGTATGTAGGCAATGTATTGCTTTCGCGTGCCGCGCTGCAAGCTGCCATGTGGCCAGTCGTACAAGGCCCTCCATCATATCCGTCGGCGCTTGCGCAGGGCGCCTGGCGCTGCCGGCGCCCCCAAGCCCCAAGCTCCCCCCAAGCATATGCTATGGTGTCCGCGCCCTCATCGGTGGTCGCCACCACGCCACGCACTGCACTGGTTGCGCGCGTGCGCGCCGCCGATGAGCGGCGCGCACGGCGATGCTCGCCCCCGCCTTTCTTTTGCGAGCGTTTGCGGGCTCGGTGGTTCTACCAGGGCTCCGGTAGAGCCCAAGAACGCCCCTCCCTTGCCGTTGCAGATTCACCTACACCTCCACTCACTTAGTTGAAGCGCCGCCTGTTACGCCAACGGCCCCGCCGCTGCCCTTGGCGCCCGCGCACCCCCGACGACGGGCTTGCGGCGGGGCCAGGGATCCCCTGACACCACACGCTTTGGCCCCGTTTTGCGGTCTGCGCACGCACACGGGGACGCACACATGCATGTACGACAGCCCAACTGTCAGACTCAAAACGACCCTACAAGCAAGCCTTTTCAACTCAGTCATTCCAATCACATAGCGACGCCCACCTGCCAGCCACCCTTGACTGCAGCCCTGCCATACTCTCAGCACGCAGTGCGGGCAAGCCGCCTGCCCCAGGCTCGCTGCCTGCCTGCGCCGCGTGCATCCAGCACTGCCCCTCGCCCGCCGGCCCGCGCCCGACTCACGCCCGCCGCGTCGGCTTACTACTTGCACTGAGGCGATCCCTCCCAGCTGTCGCGGCGCCACTTTGAACCAGCTTCCTTCCTGCACCCGCCTGCCGCTCCCTCGACGGATGCGCACTTGGCAAGCGCGCTGCCCCCTTGCCGCACACCCCTGCAGCAAGACTCCGGGTCCGCTCGTGGCCTGTGGTAGGGCCAGGGCGGCCGGCCTCATGCGCGCCGCTGCAGCCCAGCAAGCTCACTGGATCCCCAACCGCCCGTCAACCTCCGCTTTCCACGCGCTGCGCCCACCGTCGACCGCGCGGCTGGCGGCTGCTTGCGCAGCCGCCTGTGCGAGCGGTGCGGCGAGCGGGCGGCGCGCCCGCGTGCGCAGGCCCAGGCGCGCAGCGCTCGGCAACAACTTACTCCGCCGCGCTCCGTCCGGCTGATCGTACCTTTGTCGGCTGGTCCCGCCGTGCACGCCTTGACGGCTTTCAAGGCCTGCGGCCGCCTTGCATAGCCAACATGGGGCGTGACAGGGCACGCTCGGCTTCTCTGAAATTCCTGGCGCACATTTCCGCACTGCCCCGCCCGGTCCCGCCCCTGCTTGCTTGCCGGTTTTGTGCCTCTGAACGCGCTTGCTTACTACCGTCTCCCGATGCGCACCCACCCTGTCTGACACAACCTCCATTCCCTGTATTTGAGCAAAGCGCCGGGATGTAGTCGTCACGCACAGGTGCGCGCCCATGGGCCGTGCGCCGAGCTGCGCTGACGCTCAAGCCATCAAGTGTTGCTTGTGGCAGCCGTTGCATATCCAGGTCCCTGCTGGCGCCAGCCCCAGCCGACAAGCGCTGCTTCAGACCTGCTGCTTTTTACACCATCAGAGCAAAGCAAGCATTCCTTGAAAACATTTGTCACGCCTTCATGGCATGTACGCCGGCACATAGCATTAGGCATGAAGGGCCTGCCTCTGCCAAATCTTACTGTCGCCCACCAGGGAGCGCGGGCCCCACAAACACCTGTGCGCGTGCGCGCCTTCCAGCTTCTTTCCAAGCGGCGTCGAGCGCGCGGGCCGCTCTCTGTCACAATAAGCTCCGCTTCCCGGATTGCCGGCGAGCGTGTCTCCATACTGCGTGTCAATCGAGTGCGTGTGCTGCTGTGGCGTTCGGCGCACGCCCCATCGTGCTGCTGCCCCAAGCCGCGCCACGGGCATGTCGCATCCACGTCCGCCCGGCTAGGCATCGTTCCCGGCCCCAGGGCTAGCGTTGCGCCGTCAGGCGGGCCTGCGCGCGGCTGCCGGCAGGGCCCAGCCGCTCAGCTCTGCGGACGGCGCACACCCCTCGGGCGTCGCTCATTTGTCAAAGAACTTGCAAGATCGAGATCGGCTCTGCCCTGTATGCGTATGGGCCGCGCGCCTCGCCGCCCGGCTGGGTGCTCCGCACCGATCAGTCCCCCGGCCTGCAGAGCGCTGCCATGCCCGACCGTGCATCGTGCGCCGACGTTGCCTCTGCGGACCCTGCTGTCCATCAGGGCAAGCCTGCTCCTGGCACACGCGCGCGCGCGCGCGCGCCGTGCACATTGATTTGCATGACCCGAAGCAACAAACTTGTGCTGCCAACATCATAATGGCGGCTGATCGCGGCGCTCCCGCGCAGCCCCAAACCATCCTTCCCACCCTCCTACGCCCCACGCCTTTGACCAGTTTTGACCGCCCTTCGTGCGAGCCGAGGCAGGCTTCCTACGCTGTGGGGCATTAGAGGGGGCGCTTGTACTTGGCACCTGCTGCCCCTCGGCCCACGCATCCGACTGCTGGTTGCGCACAACATGATGAAAAGCCACTCACTCAAGAGCGCCAAAACTGTCAAGTACGAGGAAGTCATCAAGTTGGTCCTTGGGGTCGACGCTGGCCGCTAGCTGGCACAATCAACACCTGGCCACCGACTCGCCTGCCTGTGTTCATTCCCCACTTGCGCACCCACCGCCTCGGCCCCACTTGCTTACATTGAGGGCCGCCCACAACATGCGCCAGGGAAAAAACGGCCGGCCGCCACTACCCCACGTTTCGCCTGTTTCAGACTCAAAAGTGCAGGCGCCTGCTGCGTCGTCGCACTTGCCAGCTCACCCTTCTATGGCTGTCATTCGTCGGGTGCATACCCCACCCTCTTTTACAAGCCGTCCGCTAACTGCACGCGAGCCAGCACTGGCGCTTTGATTACTGCTGATTCCTGCTGCGGCTGCCCACTGAGCGAAGTATCAGACATGACCTCACTGGCGGCTAGCAGACAAGGGGAGTATAGCAACAACCATCGATGGTGTAATGCACTGCACACAATTCCACAAATCAGCCAGCTGCTGGTGGCCTCACGGGCCCACTCAAGGCCGTCAGCTATTCTGAGAGGCGTGCGGCAGCAGCAGCAACAGCAGCAGCAGCAAGGTGCTGTAAGGCGTTCGAGGCGGTGGCAGTGTTTGTGCCGTGCCCGCCCGTGTGACAGCAGATTTGGGGCTGGCCCACGCCGCCGTTTTCATGCCACAGTCAGCTAAAACGTGACAGAATCCCTAGATGGCGTGACACAAACCCCAACAGGTTCAGGATCGCTAAGTGCTTACCATTGCATACATATGACATCACCATGACGTCATCAGCCTAGTACTGCGCGCCCCCAAGCGGCGCCATCCATGCAGGCGTGGCCCTCTGGCCCGCCAGGTGGAGGACAAAGCCGCTGCCCCGCGCCGCCCGCCCCTCCTCCGCCGCCGCCTCCGCGCGCGCCCGCGCCGCGGCCGTCTGCGACAGCAGCCGAGCAGGGTCGCGAGC